TGTGTAAGATGATTTAAGAAAAATACTCTATTTGCTCTAAGATAGTCCTTTTATGGAGAGAATGTATTATTCTTATTAGAAATAATGTGATATACTGAAGGCAGAGATAGGTGTGGAAGAATGGTCTCTGGACCTGGTTTATGTAGAATGTCAGAATAATAGCCCAAGCCTTAGATTTATCTAAAGCCTAACATGTATTCTCTGAAAAAAGATATTATGCCTATCTCCCAGTTTTTGTGGTAATAAAATAGATTATGTATTTAATATTCTTTAGAAACCTATGAAGCATGACATAAATATAAAATATCATAGCAGCAGTAAGCACTTTGCATCTTCAATGTGATAGTTGTGATATATGGTAGTTGAACACTAAGTTTGGAAACTGTGGAACCAGTTTATTCAAAGCTGACATGGCCTATCCCCATCTTGACTCTTCATTCCAACCTTTTATACTTAATTCCTATTTTGATACTTTATGCTTTGATTTAAAATCAGAAAAGATGTGTGTCAGGGGTAGGTCCTTTTACCATACTTATTATTCAGTGTATGCTAGCAAATAATCCAAGAAGCTGGACTATATGAAGAAGAACACCGCATCAGGGTTGGGGAAAGACTCACTAACAGTCTGACTTGCTTACCAAAAGTGAAGATGTCTTGAAGTACTTACTGATGAAGGTCAAAGACTACAGCCTTTAACATGGATTGCATCTTAATGTAAAGAATACAAAAATCCTCATATTTAGACCACTAAGCAGCATCATGATAAAACAGAGAAAAAATCAAAGCTGTCAAAGATTTTATTCAACTTGGATCCACACTCAATACCTATGGAAGCAGGATTCAAAAAAATCAAGTGACTTCCTGCAGTGGGAAGGTTTGTTATAAAAGACCTCTTTAAAGTACTTAAAAGCAAAGATGCCACTTTGATGACTAAGATGCCCCTGAATGAAGCCATGGTATTTTCAGTTGCTTCATATGCATGTGAAAACTGGATGATAAAAAAAAAGAAACAGTGAGGAAAAGTTGATGTATTTGAATTGTGATTTTGATGAAGAATATTGAATATACCATGGCCTACCAGAAGAATGAACAAATTTGTCTTAGAGGAAGTACAGCCAGAATGCTCCTTAGAAACGAAGGTACTGAAACTTCCCCTCACTTACTTTAGACATGTTATCAGAAGAGACAAATCCCTGGAGAAGGACTTTAGAGGCTGGATTCTCTAGAGAATAAAAACAAGTTAAGCCTCATATATACATATGTTGTTGTTGTTAAATGCCGTCGAGTCGATTCCAACCCATAGTGACCCTGTATAGGGTTTCTGAGGAGCAGTTGGTGCGCCTGAACCACCGACCTTGTGGTTCAAACAGCTTTACAGTCTGGCGCATTAACCCACAGCGCCAAACCAGGACTCCATGTTGTTAAATGCTGTCAAGTTGATTCCGACTCATAGTGACCCTGTATAAGGTTTCCAAGGAGTGGCTGGTGAGTTCAAACCACTGACCTTGCGGTTCAAACCAACCTTACAGTCTAGACTTTACCCTTCAGCACCACACCAGGAGTATCTCTCTCTCTCTATGTATATATATTTATATGAAAGTACAGTGGTGCCATAAGATAAGCACTGGATTGCAGGCCACAGGGCAGGGGTTTGAGCCTACCAGCCACTCCTCAGAAGAAAGATGAGGCTTTCTGCTCCTTTAAAAGATTTAAAGCTTTGGAAATCCTACACAGGATTGCTGTGAGTCAAAACAACTCCATGACACTTAATGGTAGATAGAAAGATTTATTTATCTCAAGGAAATGGTTCACATAGTTGTGAAATCTGGAAGGTCCCAAATCCCTGGGTCAGAAGTGAGGCTGAATTTATGAAGGGGCAAGGGCCGATGAGTCCAAGATGGGCTAGTCAGAGAAACAGCAGGCTACAGGCTCTCAGGTCATGAAAGCTGATGAACCCAAGATTAGCAGGTGAAACAACTGGCTGATGTTTCACAGATTGCAGAAGCTAATGAATCCCAAGTCTGGCAGATAATGAGGCAGGACACTGGCTTATGTTCCAAGGTCAGATGATGATAACCAGATGTAGGATCCAGAATGTGCAAAAAGCTAGAGACTTTTGCCAAGATCACCATATATATTCAATGCAGGCCACACCCCCAAATGGATTCCCTTTCCATCATATCAGGGCTGTGATCAGATTAAAGGTGCTGTATTAAGGAATCCTTGTGTGGTGCTGTGGGTTAATGCGCCAGACTGCAAAGCTGTTTGAACTGCAAGGTCAGCGGTTCAGGCTCACCAGCGGTTCCTCAGAAACCCTATACAGGGTCGCTATAGGTTGGAACCGACTAGATGGCATTTAACAACAACAATAACAAATCCCACTTCAGTCTACTTAACATTGGATCAGGGCTGTTACCTGAATAAGGATAGCACATCCCACCCTAATCACATCGAAGCATACTATAGGATGACTATATCATTACGTAATTTCCACATGACATCCCTACAAAACTGCCAAACCACTGAATCATGGCTCAGCCAATATGATGTATAATCTTAACCATTACAAACATCATGCTTGATAGCGAGTTAGTGATAGAAAGACTCCATAGATGGATTGACACAGTGACTACAGCAACAGTCTTAAACATAGCAACAATTTTAAGGATGGTTCAGGACTGGGCAGTGTTGCATTTTATTACACATGGAGTGCTATGAGTCATAGTCTCGTGTTTCAATTTACCCAGATGACCAATCAGGACTCTCAGGATCAATAAGGAAACTTTTATTAGCTGGCCAGTGACTACAGCCTCCCTAAAAGTGGGAAAAACTGCAGACCCGTCCCAGTTTTTCAGAGTATTTATACATAGGCAATCTGACATTATCTTGCACAAACCAAGGGTATGATGTATGCATGAGCTGTTAGGGTGGGGGCTAGGGGTACATCTGCTGGGACAGTTAGCTTTCAAGATTAACTTGGGGCTAGGGGTACATCTGCTGGGACAGTTACTTCTCAAGATTAACTTTGGCCATCTGTTCTCAAGGTTAGCCTTGGCCGCTGGCCACAACACCCTGTGAGTCAGGCAGGCCCACTCAGATGTGAGGAATTTGCATAAGCAGTATTACAGAAGCCAAGTTTAGCCAGAGTTAAGGGGAAAAAGGGGTTTCTGCATCCAGGGGAGTTGTTGATGCTAAAAATTTCCACTTCAGCCTGATTCTTTCTTAAAAATTAGTTATTATAGGGCAATTGAGCCTTACATTAGGTGACAACAGTGAAGAGCAACACTTAATACTCATATTCAGTATGTATAGATATGAACTGCACATTTAGTATAACTTTTCAGTCAGTAAACTTTTTATAGCATCATGTTGTTTTTGTTGTTGAGTGCTGTTAGTCAGTTCCAATGCATAGAGACCTTCCTTGTGTAGGGTTTCCAAAGAGCAGCTGGTGGGTTTGAACAACCAACCTTGCAGTTCAATGTGACCTACATCACCACTCCAGGACTCCATTATGGCATCATGCACTAGTCTGAAGAGCGCTTCTTCAGGGAGCTATTAGTGCCCTTTTGGCTAGTGATTCAGTTCCATGGCAGTTTCTTGGAGAGAGTTGTCACTTTGTATCTTAGCATTGCTAAATGGGATGGCATATTTTCAGACGGCTTAAATAAACAGGTATCCCAAGACAGTTACACTACCCTAGCATTTACAAGGGGGCTTCAAAAAGTTCGTGGAAAAATTCCATTATTCATCAGTCATTTGTCAATTTGTCATACTATGGTGACTGGCATGTTGTTGTGATTCTGGAAGCTATTCCACTGGTATTTTAATATCAACAGGATCACCAATGATGAACAGGTTTCAGTTGAACTTCCAGACTAAAACAGACTAGAAAGAATGATAGATGGATGACTTCTGAATATTTAGCCAATGAAAGTCTTATAAATACCATCAGAACATTGTCAGATATAGTTCTAGAAGATGAAAACATTATTAATAGCAACAGAATATTGTCATATATAGTGCCAGAAAATGAGCCCTTTAGGTTGGAAGGTACTCTAATACTACTAATACTTCTGGTCACTCTAATACTATAATACTACTGGAGGAAGATTGAAGTTGACGATTGAAGATTGAAGCATAGATTGAAGTTGTCAAGGACTTCATTCTTCTAGGATCAACTATCAACATTCGCAGAAGCAGCAGTCAAGAGATCAGACGATGTATTGCATTAGGTAAATCTGCTGCACAGGAACTTTTTAAAGTGTTGAAGAGCAAGGATGTCAGCTTGAGGACTAAGGTGCACCTGACCCAAGCCATGGTATTTTCAGTAACCTCATATGCATGTGAAAGCTGGACAGTGAATAAGGAAGATTGCAGAAGAATTGATGCCTTTGAATTGTGGTGTTGGAGGAGAATACTAAAAGTGCCATGGACTGCCAAAAGAACCAATAGATCTGTTTTGGAAGAAGTGTAGCCAGAGTGCTCCTTAGAGGTCAAGATGGCTAAACTTCATCTCTCATACTTTGGACATATTGTCTGGAGGGAACAGTCACTGGAGAAGGATGTCATGCTGGGTAAGATGGAGGGTCGGAGAAAAAGAGGAAGTCCCTCAATGAGATGGATTGGCCAGGTGGCAGCACTGATGGACTCAAGTGTGGCAGCGGTAGTGAGGTTGGCCCAGGATCAGACATTGTTTCGTTCTGTTGTGCATGGGGTCGCTATAAGTCAGTTCAGACTTGATGGCACCTGACAACAACAGGAGGAAGAGCTGCTTTCTCAAAGAAGAGTTTCTCATAATGATGCAAATGGAGTAGACAGACGTTTTAGGATCTACATTGGCAGGTGGGGCACAACTCACATGAGGATAAACAGCTGCAAACATCCATTAATAATCAGTACATGGAATGTATGAAGTGTGAATCTAAGAAAATTGGAAGTTTTCAAAATGAAATGGAATACATACAAATTGATAACTTAGGCATTAGTGCACTAAAATGAGCCAGACAATCATATCGTTTACTATGCCAAGAATAACAAATTTAAGAGGAATATCATCATATTCATCATCAGAAAGAACATTTCAAGATGTATCTTGAAGTACAGTGCTGTCTATAATAAGCTATTCGCCTACAAAGAAGAAAATCTACATGCCTACAAGGAAGACCAGTTAATACCAATATAATTCAACTTTACGCACCAACCACTAAAACCAGTGATGATGATATTGAAGAATTCTACCAACTTCTTCAGTCTGATATTTATCCATGCAATCAAGATGTTTTGATAATTAACAGTGGTTGTAATATGAAGGTTAGAAGCAAAGAAGAAGGGTCAGTAATTGGAAAATAGGACCTTGGTGATAGAAATGATACTATAGATCACATGATAGAGTTTTTCAAGACCAACAACTTGTTCATTGCAAATATTTTAAAATAACATGATACACATGAATATCACCCAATGGAGTACACAGAAATCAAATTGACAGCATTTGTGAGAAGACATGGTAGAAAAACTCCCTATCATCAGCCAAAACAAGGCCAGGGGCAGACTGTGGAACAGACCAACAAATGCTCATATACAAGTTCAGGCTGAAGTTGAAGAAAATTAAAACAAGTCCACGAGAGCCAAAATTTGACCTTGAACATATCCATCCTGAATGTAGATACCATATCAAGAACAGATTTGATGCATTATACACTAATGACCGAAGACTAGAAGAGTTGTGGGATGACATCAGGAACATCATACAGAAAGAAAGCAAAAGATCATTAAAAAGACAAGAAAGAAGGAAAAAATAAAACAAAACAAATTGGATGTCATAAGAGATTGTAACTTGCTCTCCAGTGTAGAGATGCTAAAGCAAATGGAATAATTGAGGAAGTAAAAGAGGTGAACAGAGCATTTCAAAGGGTAGCTCAAGAAGACAAAGTCAAGTATTGTAGTGAAATGTGACAAAACTTGTAGTTAGAAAACCAAAAGGGAAGAATATGCTCAGCATTTCTCAAGCTGAAAGAACTGATGAAAAATTCAAGCCTTGTGTTGTCATGTTGAAGGATTCTATGGGAAAAATGGATTCCTGGTTTGATGCTGTAGGATCAGTACTGGATAGCAAACCACCAAGTCGGCAGTTGAAACCCACCAGCTGCTCCTCTGAAACCCTATACAGGCTCACTGTGAGTCAGAATCAACTCGACTTTTATATTTTGGACAACTTCCCAGGAGGGGCCAGTCCCTGGGGATATCATGATTGGCAAAATGGAGGGTCAGCAAAAAAAATAGAGGACGGCACTTAACAACAAAAAAGCAATGGATCAACTATTGAATGATGCAGAAAGCATCAAAAGATGGAAGGTACAGAATCACTGTACCAGTAAAAAATTGATTGATGTTTAACCATTTCAAGATGTTTAACCATAGCATAGGAGTCCTCATGTGGCGCTCCTCGGAAACCCTATACAGGGTCGCTATGGGTTGGAATCAACTCGACAGCACCTAACAACAACAACAAGGAGAGTCTGGTGTGGTGCCATAGGGTTAGCACTTGATCTGAAGGTCAATTTGAACTGCAAGACTTGTGGTTCAAACTCACCAGCCACTCCTTGGAAACACTATACAGGGTCACTGAGTCAGAACCGACTTGATGCACTTAACAGCAACAACAACAAAGGAGTAAGACAAGTGTAATTACTGAGAGAACTTGTCTGCAGTCATCCACTGATTACAGAGACATGTTTAAACACATTTTGCTTTGAGTAAATCTGTATGTGTATAAACTGAAACCTTAGTAGCAATATATATATATATATATATATATATATATATAT